TCACTTATTATCTTAATTTCAATTAAGATATCCTTTTCAACATAATAATTAGGATCTTTTTGGCATTATTCGCAAATGGAATATATATATATATATATATATATATATATATATATATATATATATATATATTTCTGAGGGACATTCAATACAGTTGTTTCTGTTCTCCTTTCTATCACTGAAGTGCTGAGAAATCCGTAATTAATTTCTCATTTTCTCGTATTCATACATAAACACAACAGAAGCAGTACTTGACCGTTTCAACACTTAAGGGTAAAAAGTAGTACAATATACTCAGGATCAGAGGGTACTATTCTAATGCAACACCCCACTCATTCTCCTGAAAATAGGAAGGTCAGAGTTCAATATGCCTGAGGTGATCGAAAATTAAAGCAGCCAGAGTGACTGATTATTATTTCCTTCTACTCTCATGTATTCCACACATTAAACCCGAACTTGCATCAATTTCGCTCTGACGCGGAAATAGGTAAATAAAATACTAAATTTTGCTGAGATCATTTTACACGCTGAGTTGCCAGACGGTACTTGGTCAGTATTTCCTTTTTCATGTAAGACGATGGAGGGGGGTGGCTTGTAAGTTCCCGGCCAGCTCAAGAAGTTATTTAAACAAATCTGTTTAATCGTTTTGGGTAGTGGCTCACCACCCACTTACATAACACGTATATGAAGCAAGTTACTTTTTCCACACGTATAGGATCGTGGCCCAATAATAAATAGAAGTGAATGCTTTAGTTCCTCCTACTATTGCGTATGGAGTTGGGCATAAGCGTGCAATACATGGTCCTTGTGGTGATCATTTGGAATCTAGAAATAAATACACCTCAAGTTAATACACTGGTGCCACAGCTCCATGAATTTAAGCGTGCTACTAGATTCGCATCTCGGTCCCACCCTTTTACTGTCGAAACAGTTAAATGTAACCGCCTCTTCAACTCCCAAAACTTTTTCTCTCGCACTTCGACAACAGAACTCCTTTCCTCTTACTTGCTCCCCTGATAACTATAATCTTCAAAGATCTAAATGTAATGTCAATCGATATCTTCTTATGCCTTGATCTTGATCCCCGTCCATCTATTTAGCTTTTCCTCAAACACCACTCTTTTCTCTGACTTTCACTCTCTGTAACCCCTTGCCTGCTAGTGGCACTGCCGCCTTGCTTGAAGGGAAATGCTTAATAATATATATATATATATATATATATATATAGCCATAAAATTATGTACAAAATATTTACAGGGTCTGTCTACACTGTGCCATGTGTCCTCAAGGACACATGGCACAGTGTAGACATAAAGGCATTGGTTAGATTAGTGTAGACATAAAGGCGTTGATTAGATCCAGTGACAGACCCAAAGAAGGTGAGTTCAATACCTGGTTAAGGCAGTGGAGAACTTTCAGAGGGAAAATTAGCAGGAGATAACTGATAACTGACATCCATCAAACATGGCACGTGGAACTAGAACAGTCTACCCCAGTGATTGAAATAAAGAGTTCAGTTCGAAATTCCAACCACCTGAAGAAGGCCGGAACGTACAACGGCCGAAACGTTGTGACAAATATGGCGACAAAGATGATGACAATAGTCCGACTAATGTAAATACTGAAAATATTTACATTTCGGCATTAAATAACCCATAGAGGTTGATATGATACTAAATATAAACAACCAAACCAAATCACCAGTAATGTAACTGTCAATTTTACACATCAAGTGATCTTCAGATCTTGATTGTTTGAGGTGTGAAACTGACAGTCACCATGCAGTTTTGATACCTATGTCTGCAATATATTTATAAAGCACTTCCGACAGTAGAACTCCCTTCCTCTTACTTGCTTCCCTGATAACTATACTCTTCAAAAATTTCAATGTAATGCCAATCGATATCTTCTGATGCCTTGATCTTGATCCCCGTCCATCTCTTTAGCTTTTCCTCAAACACCCCCCTCTTTTCTCTTACTTTCACTCTCTGTAACCCCTTGCCTGCTAGTGGCACCACCGCCTTCCTTGGGATGAAATGCTTTAGAAATATTATGTTTTGAAATATTAGAATGAGTCATAAGTACTTTTCGTTTCTGGGGACTGTAATGACAATCATATCATCTTAGCTAGCCTTTGTATAAAATATATAATTACAGGTGATGATCTACATACAACTTTTTTCAGCGGAAATGTAGTGTTTTGACAATGAAGTATGTCCAAAACCGATCAGATTCGTATACACATCAAAAACGTTTTCCTCTCAAAAACTGGGATTTTACTCAAAAGGTATGGATGGAAGCAAGGGCGTTATTACCCTTTCACATCACTTAAAAATAAAACACAGCCAGATAAATTCATAAAATGAAAAGAAACTTATTTTTAAAACAGTTATTTTTTTAAATGTTTAATTTCATAAAACTAATTTAAAATAACAACAGTTGGACTGCTGTAATTATTAATAATTAAAATTACAAATATTAGCAAAGATTTTTAAAAGCTTCTGAAAATGTGTTCTGATATCAAAAGTTTCCAAAATGAAAGGCGGAAAGATACTGAAATTAATGCATTATTTAAAACTAAAATTCAGAAATTATGAAACAAATATCAAGAAAAAAAAGGGGGGGATCTATTTGTATTTGTTTTTTTTAAAACTAAAAAAGAACCGAAGACAAAAAAAAAAATATCGTGTGGTTGACAGTGTCATAGAGGGATGCGAAAGTGTAATAACGCCAAAGCATGTTATTGAAAATAATGGTGAATATATAATTGAATAAGCAATAACAATATTATATTTTTTGAAGAATAAAAAAAATAATAAAGCCAAAACAGAAATTACTATGGACTGAACATTATAGGTGCTGTTTCTAATGCCGGCTCGCTAGGCCCAGTTTTTTTTTTTTTGCTTGATCTTCGAACCGAGAAGCGAATACGAGGAAAATTTATGTGTACCCAATATTACTTGTCTTAAATGCCATATCCCCCTTCAAGTGAGGAGAAAAGAAATCCATGCCTTTCTCAAGGTAATTAGTGCTAGTGATGTAACACACGAGGCCGGAATTTGAACATGGTACGCCGATTTGTTTTCCGCTCAGATAACTTTAATGTAACTTTACTAAGGTAGCATATAATGCAGGTGTGTAAAGAGGAAAATTTATAAATTAAAAATAGGTGAAAGCGTATGGCGAGCAATCCATTGGCACAAAGACTATTGTGAGAAGCAAATATGTGATTGTACATGGAAAAGATAATTCCACTTAAACATCTGATTTCAGACACTTCAAAAGAAAATATTTAAATTATAAAAAAAAATAATTAATGATTTGCATAACTGAAGAGTCAGAAGGTCAAAGGTTTCCGAATACATTCTTTGGCTGAGATAAAAATTTCTTTCTTGCTGAGAAGGAATTAAAAACATTATCGATAGACAAAGGACTTTTTTTTATCTTTTGAATCATTTTTTTAAATAATGCCGACGTTATAAGGAAATGAGTACATATATTTTATGAGAGCCTGAGTCATTGATAATTTGAATCTGATTTTAACTTTATGCAGAAATACACTTCTTTTCTTTCCACATGACTAATCTAAACTTAGTAAATCATTTAAAAGTTGCCTCCCGCAAGATGGAAGAGATCTTAGTGCAGACTAATTCGCAAAAATATTGGATTTGAATCTGCAGCAAATTTAAACATTCAGAATAGACAAAATGACGTCTCACTGTAAACAGTTCAGTTTCTTTTATTTATATCATTTAAAGCCAGACTAATATCTTCATATTTCTTGTGACAATCACAACGTTTCACCCGTGGGACACTCAGGCATTTTTCAGATATCTGTCGATTATTAAATCTCTTGCATAATTTAAGGGCCATGCAACGGAATCCATGGAACGCAGATGTTTAAAGCGTTGGTTAACGTCTATATTTATTTAATAATGATTGTGAGTTCAAACCCTGAGTGGGTCGGACGGATTTACACACATCGATTGGAAACGGAACGAGCAATAATTGAAAGATATTTCTTGACGTGGGCAACTGTCTGAGAACAATCTAGCCATATAGAGTGAATAAATTTTAGAATTTGAAACTCACTGAATTTTACCAGGATATCCAGACAATTGAAGAAGTTAAGGGGGGGCACAATGGCTGAAACGTTGTGATCCTACAAAAATGATGAGCACCAGATACTGACTATAAATAAGATAAATAATAATTTTTATTACTTAGAATATTTACATTATTCGGACTGTTATTCTCATCTTCATTGCCATATTCACAAAGTTTCGGCCGTTGTACACTTCAGACTTCTTCAGGTGATTGGAATTTCGAAACGAACCCTTTATTTCGTCCACCGGGGTAGATTTTTCTAGTTACACCTGCCACATTTCTCCCGGGTGTCTCCGTTATTTTCCTTTAAGTCAATTCACCAAGATTTTTGGTTTACCATTGCTGTAGCCTGGTATTGAACTCACAACTCTTTAGGTCTAGTCACTGGATGCCTTGAACTTAAGATTTTATCCTTTAATTCTAAATGTTTGGGAAAGATGTTAAAACATGGAAATTAAATTGTAAATGAAAACAGTTATATTTTCATGATACAAGCATTTACAAAATTATTTTATAAAACTATACTATTCTTTTAATAATAATTTGACGCCATCTTATTGCTGTTAAACTTTTCCTTTTTAAACAGGAACACTCAATACATTCTTAATTATTCCACTTATTCTTCGCTTTGTAAATGGCCACTTCGACTTTATGCAATTGTTAGCAAGGTTGTCTGGCTAGATTAATTACGACTGAATAGTGAGTTTGATGATTGGGTCCACAATATTTTCGGCCTTGTGCCACAACTAAGCCACGCTTGGAAAATCACTAATAAATAGATGACCTGATAGAAATTTCTACTCACCTTCATCTTGGATGCGCTTTTGGCAGGATTGCGCAAACGATATATTTTATTTCTGATTACATGAAATTGCAGAACTAAAACTAACATAATGTCTTTATTTTCTCTTTGTTCTTCTCTCGTGTTTCTCTTCTCTCTAATTTTTGTCTCAATTTTTCAGTTCCTTTCCGTATTTTTCTGTAAATCTACAACCTACTTATTTGATAAGTACAAACCTAAAAATCTTTTGAAATGAAGAAACTTTCTCGGCGTTCACATCACTTAGAATTCATTGGTAGATGCCACGGAAATATATGCCATTCCTTCCAGTCGGTGTAAAATAGAAAATAAATGTTTCCCGCACCAATTTGAATCTCACTGCATGAAGGAGATGGCATCATAGCTGGTCAGTAAAAGATCAAACAGATAAATATTTATTTGATGACATCTGTTATTTTCTTGAAACAGTGTGAGTAAGATCAGTTGGGCTGAAAATGTTTAGTGTTTATCTTAGTTTTAGACAACGTCAAATATTTATCAATGGTCGTAGTTTTCTGTTTTCTTGAATTTATTTCTACTTTCTTTTTATCTAATTCTGTTACCTTCCGTTCTTTCATTTTATTTTCTTCATTGCTCATCTTCTAAGTTGTTTTGTTTTCCTTCTCTCCTTGGAATTTTTTTTTTTTTTACTTATTTTTTCTCTTTCAGATTCTTTCTTTCGCTTTTCATTCTCGCCTCGCCGTCTTAATTTAATTTCTTTATCCTTACTTTTCTCTTGTTTTCCTTCCCTTTTCTTTCTATTGGTCCTTGTTTCGTGTAATCTCTTGCCTCTTTTTAAAAAAAAAATTTTCTCTCTCTTTATCCTTTCTCTCTATTTATCCTTTCTCTGTCCTATGTCCGTTTTCTATCTTTTTGTTTTCTTCCTTTGTCTTTTTCTTTCTTTGCTACTTGTTTACTCCAACCATGACACCGCGGAAACGATGTAAAGAATCGAAAGACAATTGATTGTTACTCTCATATATTCTTTCATTTCTTTTGAAACTTTATCGATACAGATTCACGCAACTTCCCACCGTTCAGAACTGAACGTAAGAGCTAAAAGACATCAATGAATAGCATCATCAAATATATAAGCTTGGCAACGACAGTGGCAAGAAGTTATCGAAAAAGTTCATATTTAGTGAAGAATAATGAAGTTAAGGTTCCAATGGAAGAATTGACACCAAGTTTACGAAAAAATACAATACACAGCACAACCACACACACTCAAAAAAAAAAACAAAAAAACAACGAACATTTTTTTCACGTGTTTTCTTGAAGATTTCTCCATTTTGTATTCGTGTTCTCCCTGAAATGGAATAAATACCGAATGGCGATGAATGGCGTTTTTACTCTTGTTTATTGTCGTCTTAATATTTTTTTCTATTTGACAATTTTTTTTTATTTATTTAAAAAAGACACGGTTGGAATTATTTTTATCAGAAATAGATGAGTTTACTTTTTTTTTCCTCTTTTATTAACGTCAGAAATTTTATCAAGAACCTAAACAAAAGAAATTCCTAGGGGTAGAAACTTCATGAAATCTTGGTACAAATACGTAATCAACATAAAACACGGCAAACATCCTAACAAACCTTCAAGTCTACATACATGCGTGGGTGTATTTTTGCGTTACCCCCACGTACAAATATATGTGCTCAACAAAGATACCGGAAATTTAAACAAAATGCTAGACGAATATAGAATTTTGACAGTCATTTTGTGTGTAATATCCTTTTTGAGCAGTATGATTTAGGAACAACATCTTCAGTACTACTTCTACGGAAACGAGGGACATTAGACGTTAGTGTTTTTCAAAAGACAAATTTGTTGCACTGTTGGGCTAGAACTTCATCTCAATCTATCTAAAATATATTTTTATGCCAGTCACCAGTTTACTAAAAATGATTTAATCCTATTAAAGATGATGTTAATTCATCTGACCAGAGCGACTGGCGCTACATTTTCACAAACAAGTGATTGATTAAATAACAAAACCCAAAGAATCCATATTGCTCCAGCTATGGGTTAAATGAGTTAAATAGCAGTGAAAACTGGGCTCTCGAGCGTTGAAATAGCAACAAGTTTAGAATAAGTAAAAGTCTGAATTCAAATCTAACCTGAAGATGGATGGGCTATGTTAGGTTGCAGAAATAGCAGCAGCAATCTATCTATCTATCTATCTATCTATCTATCTATCTATCTATCTATCTATCTATCTATCTATCTATCTATCTATCTATCTATCTATCTATATATATATATAATGTTATAAATTTTTACATCCGTATACAAACAATTCCTCACGACAAAGATGCATTTTTGTTTCGATGGGCATAACTCACCTTTAATCCTTACCAGTCGAGATGCCTGCGTATCGAAACAAAAAATGCATCTTTGTCGTGAGTAATTGTATTTGTCCTTAGGCAAAAATTCATAATTATTGTGCTAATTTTAGTATTGAGCCCTATTTTGAATTAATGCTGTGAAGGTTAGAATTTATATTATTTTCGTTCTCATTATAATATATATATATATATATATATATATATATATATATATATATATATATATAATTTCTAAATAAATAAAGTGATGCATTTTTTATTTATCAGTCCTTCAGATTTTATCACGTTTTATCACATTAAACGTTATTTTTAGTGGATATTTGAGTCGATGCTCCGTTTATTGATTAAACAGTCTATTTGCTTTTTTTCGTCTAGCGGCCTGAATATTCGCGCAATCTTATTGGAGAAAAATATGCTATCTCGGGCAGGATTCGAACCTGCATCTTTCTAGGTGAAACAGACATTAAGACCTCTTTTAGAAGATTCAGGTCGGTAGACGAAATTAAGACATAAACTGAGCCTCCACTCAGACGTTATTTTTATTGGATACTAGTATTTAAGTAATATATAAACATGTATTAAACAGAGAAAATGGCATTGTTCACAAGAATCTTTGGCGGCTAGTAAAATGCTAATGCGAACTGCGAAGTCATAGACAAACGAGGAATTACGATCAATATATAATTTAATATTGAAAAAGAAATAAGAATGAGGAAATGACAAAAAAAAAATAGATCGTTTTGATGAAAACAGAATGATGTCAATGCCTTGAGACTTGATGTAAAAAATTGCTGAAGCAAAATATTTAATATTGACTTTTTAAACAGTCCTTCACATCATGGCCTATTTTAAATACGTGTTGATAATTACTGTTTCATTTGACAGGGCACAAAGATGTATATTTATATCACTCGGTGAAGATCTGGTTATTGCAATGATTTTGAATTTGACTAGGACCCGCCAACTTGTGCCCTTTGAGCCATACAACTAATGCAATGTAAAGGCGACAAGAACAGGAAGTGACAAGAACACGTAACCTACTTGAGGAATTTGTACGAATTGTTGACAGAATAAAAGGGATGGTAAATTATATATATATATATATATATATATATATATATATATATATTGCTCAACTTTTTTTACGCCTTATTACTGGGTTATTTAAAGCCGAAAGGTATTTTGGATTGCAAGAATATTTTTGCAAATGAAGATTTCACCAAGAATTTTATGGTGATAACAATGATTTTTCCAGATACAAGTCATACTATTTAACCCATAGCTAGGGGGTGGAGATGGATCCATAACTTTCCCAGTGCTGTTTGCGCGTAAGTGAATGTAAAGAACCCAACAGGAATTCGAAAAACTGTTGTCTGATTTTTTTTTATTCCTAGCCACTATTCATTACACTACTCCCAACCTGGGTAAGATGATAAACTACGTCCAACGGCAAGGCCTCTGATCAGGAGGTTTTGTGGAGCATGGAACCACCTCTTAATTGCTGATGTTCCCAGGTCCACGCTGACCCGGGGTGGTAGCAACTGTTAAGGTTCCAGCTATAGGTCCCTAACAGGTGCTACCACACCGTTTTTATTTCCTTTACTGAAATATTCGTTTCCATTCTGAATTATTTTTTTTATGATAGACAACAGTTGTATTTATTGGATTCATATTTTTAGAGTCTGCAGATAATTGCATTAATTTGGTAATTTCCTTTGAAGGAAAAATATTATCAGAAATAGATTTTTGACAAAATATTACCAGCAATAAAAGTTTTGTCGGCATTAAATAACCCATTATGGTTGATATGCCGTAAAACAAAACAAAGCAAACCAATTACACTACCCTCACATTCACTAGAGCAAGAGAAGAAAGGATGTCGTGGAAAGCCGTGATCGTTAACTTTCTGAAAGTTACAAAAGAAGTGCAGGATATGGAAAACATATGGCACTGATCCCATGAGGAAAAGCACAATTGTCGTATATAAATCATCAAACAAAATCATAATACATATAATTGTCAGAAGACGATAATAGAAAATAACTAACAAACGTTGAAAGACTGTTTTTTTTTTTGTTTATTTTTTTTTTTTTGGGGAAAGGGGTGGTTATTTTTTCTATATGTTTTTAGCTTTTTAAAAACAAGATTTGAAAGTGAAACATTTTCTTTCGTTAATTCTAATCTCTTCCTTTCTTTTTTTTTCCAGGTAAGTCAACTGTTTGTGTGTGGTTACCAACTTGGAAATGAGCGAAGCATTTCTCGGTAAGAGAAAATAATACCTTATATACTCGGGTATAAGCCAACTTGGTCTATAGTACGACATTTGATTTTTTTTTTTTTTTGGCGTTCATATTAACCACTCCAGAAATAATGACGTGTGTATCGTACAACGGCTCAGCAGAAATGCATACTTTTTAACATCTTCACAAAAATTAGTGTGACCCCTATTTTGGCGTAAAAAAAATCGATCATAAAAACACACACTGTACTCGAGTATTTCCGGTAGTTTATGTACAACTTTGTATTATTTTGATATCTCTCGTTGTTTTTTTTTTCTTGGAGAAAAGGTTCTTAAAATAAATATATGTAATTTACTTCGTTGTCTGCAATTTTCAATGCAGTCAAATATAATGTCAGATTTTATTGTTTATTTCAAGGTTTTCAATATTAATGATTTTCCGGCTATATTCATACAAGTTAAATATCGTGTGTGTTTCGACTTATAATATTTATACGTATTAAGATAGATTGATGATAACTTGTATTGACTGGTGTCGGGTTTTATTATGCAAACAAATTATCGCCTAACTTTTTATTTATAAATAAATCCAAAAGATAAAGGTCATAGGAATTGATACGTTATACTATACTTTATGTTTAGCGATACATGTATAACGTTATACATGTATACATGAAAATGTATAACGTTAATTTGTTATAAATTCATCTATTTTAATCTTCTATATTGAATTTAACATTACTTGAATGTTTTTATTTCCTTTACTTAAATATTCGTTTCCATTCTGAATTATTCCTGTTTTATGATAGACAACAGTTGTATTTATTGGATTAATATTTGTAGAGTATGGAGATAATTGCATTAAGTTGGTATTACCAAGAAATTTTTTGGCTATGTTTGCATACGTCAGCAGAGCAGAACGTGAACGTCTCCAAGATTGAAGTGACCTATAGTTTTAATGCATGCTCTTAGCACAGGCCATTATCCCAACTTCTTGTGTGGTCATATAAGACATGTTATTTGACAATTTCAATGAACACCAAAAAATTATTCGCAGTTATCAAGTCCATCCAAGGTAGCTCTATATTTATCACTAAGAATTATTGCTGAAAAATTAGTTTTCATGAATTCTTTTGCTTAAATGAAACTTCTTTTCTCCTGCCAGTTCGATTCCTTTTAGCCAATGTTTCTTTATATTTTGGATCTTTTTCCCACTGTCTACATTCTCACAAAATCTTCTTCTTAAAATATTAATATTAAATCCATTTTGCTTTCATAATAGTTTTCATATTTTTCATGACTTTCTTAAAGCAACAAGTTAGAATTCATGTAAATAACTGCAACCCTTTTTTTCTACGATATTTTTTTAATCTTTTAATAATTTCAAAATTTGTATTCCCATCAGAAAATAACATTGTTTCTCAGTCGAGTTTTCGACACATTATCATCTTTATATAAACAAAATTTGAAAAAATATATAACTTAGTAACCACGGTATTTATATATATATATATATATATATATATATAATGTGTATTTAGGCATAACATGGATGATTTCGTAGCAACGATAAACACGTGCATATAAGACGCTAGAAGCGAAAAATCGCACCGCAACTCATGACGTCACACATGACCACGCGAGAGTGAATTCGAGTATTAAGTATGGGAAGCCGTTGGTATAAACCAATGACTTCTGTTACCAATTATAGACATTTAAGGATATTTGTAGAGATACCATAGTTGATTTATCAGACGTTATGAAAAGAATTTACATAAAATAAATAGACAACACTTGTCTATATTATTTTATGAAACATGTATGAATATATAATGCACTAGTCATACATAGAAATAAATTCAACCATAATTTTGATTTTAAAAATGCTACACTCATAAAAAATGAAAATAACTCACACAGAAGGAAAATTCTGGAGAGTGCCGCCATAGAAAATTACCGAAATATTAATCTACGCCCAGGTTTTTATCCCCATTTCACCTTTCTTAACAAAATTAATGCTCTTAGAAACAAATATACACAACAGATTCATAAAATCAAAAGAAAATGGTTGAATACATCAACACAGATATAATGACAATATTCTCCACACGTGACAAATACTGACGTTATTTTCAGTTAAAAATATGAAAATAGCGTTTCTCTACATTCCAGTTGCTAGGTACATTCTGTTTTTGTTTTTATTAGTTACTTTGTTCAGTTAATTTCATTTTCGTAATTTGCTTTGATAAAGTTCACATTGGGCGAAACGTGTCAGCAATTACCAGTTTTCCTATTGTCATTTTTATTCATAAATATATATGTCAAACATCTCTCGAATTAGGTAATAACATATCACAACACCAAAGTCGTTATTGCTAATTATTAAATCTTATGATCTCACCGACAGTCCACATGGAATATTTGTCTTGGAACTGATGACCATTTTTTCAACATAAGTTGATTTGTACCAATTTTATTACGATTATATGTTCCTTGCATAAAAAAGATGAGAGTATTTGATTAAATCAAGTATGAAGTATATTTGAATAGGAATGCCGAAAATTCTACATTTTCCCCCATGATTGAAAAGGCTATATATTTTCAGCTTTTGTTTTATGGAGAAAATTAATCGTAAGCCATCGCAAAGATTCAAACATATCAAAGGATTTAGAATGTTAACATATTAAC